GATCGTGCCGTCCGCTGCGGTCTTCACGCAGAAGACCCATTTGCCGGAGAGAATCCTTCTCCCCTTAATTGCCGCTCGATCGACGAGTACCCATATGTCGCGGGACTCAAGCGCCCTGATTTCTGCGTTCATTGCTTCGTGCCACTCCTTGCTATGTGGTCCCGTGAGTGCTTGGCGCGGATTTTTTTTGCTCGATGATGCGTGGCGCCGTTGAGGTGGCGGTGTGGAGCCCGAGAAGCTGCAGCCCTGAAACAGTGCTGTCGTGGCGATGTTGCGGGATAACCTCATGCACGTCGTCGTCATCACTCTCTGGCTCAGGTGGTGTTGGTGGTGCTGCGCCCTTGCCGCTTCCTCCTGTTCCGCCGACTCCTCCTCTTGAGGGGTCTTCATCGTCATCGTCACTGCTGTGGCGATCTCCTCCTCCAAACTCACCTCAGGATAGCCGCGGCTGCTTCGTCCTCGGGCTTGCGTAGCTGTGCCCGTCGTTGGCGTAGACGCGGCTCACATTCGTTCGCTCGTCTTCGCGGAACTGGTCAAGGAAGAGCCGTTCGTAGAAGATGGCGTCGCGCGCATTGGTGACTTTCTGGCTGATGAGATGGTGCAGTTGCGTGGCAGTGTCGTGCTTCTCATTTCGGTGCCGTCACGCCGCAGGAGAGCGCCAGGTGCGAAAACTCCTGCGTTGATGCAGTTTGTCAGCGTCGCGCGCGAGGGATGACCGAGGCGCTGGTGCCAGAGGTCGTTGCTGGCGCGAAATCCGGAGGTGCGCATGTAGCGCGCGCGTACTATCGCAGGGTCTTCTTCTGGTGCTGGAGCAGGTTCTACTGCTGCTTCTTCCCCTTCCTCTTCGTCGTTCGCCGTCGTCAGCATCAGCGCCAAAAATTCTCTGTCGAGAATGACAGTGAAAGGAATGTTGGTGCCGGCAATCGTGCCGGGGACGAGGGTAGGTTCGCGCGGCTCGAGAACAGGTCCATGAGCTGTGCGGCGCGGGGTCGACGGTTCCTTGCCCCAGTCGATGGTGTCCCAGGGGTCGCGGTGTGGTTGGACGTCAGGTGGTGGCAGCGAGAGTGCGAGAAGGCGAGGGGGATGGCCGAGGGGAACAACGCGCAACTCTACTTCTGCAGTCTGTTCTCCCCCCCTTCGTTCTCCTCGCCAGGGACTCCAGCCTTCACCGGAAGCGCCCCATCCGGTGGTGTCGCCGCCAGTTGCGGTGCTCCAGCCGCCAGTGTCGCTCGTTCCCCATTCGCCAGCGCTTCCCCACCCCCCTTCATTGGAGGCGTTCTCTTCCTCTGTTCCCCAAGCGGCGCAGGCAAACGTCCCGCGTGCTACGGCGCGGCTTTTTCGGCAAAGTTCTTCGGCTTCGCGGCACGCTAGCTCTTCTTCTTGTTCCAAGGTAAGCTTCGACGTGGGCTCGCGCCAGTGGGGGTACAGCGTCATGAACTCTTCCTTTGTGTAGGGACGTGCCACACCGCGTGCGTCGAAGGTTCCGCGACGCTGTCCGCGTAGGATGTTTTCGAGCTGCTGCGAGGGGGAACCCGCAAGTGGGTTTTGATTGCTGCTGAAGACGTGGTGAGAAACCACTTCTAGCTCCAACACCGACATGCCTTCTTCTGGCGGCGCGGTTCGGTCAGCTTCGGCGATGGCGGCGAGACCGCGGCCGGCCATGGCGCTCGTTGAGGCGGTGGGTGTGGAACATTCCCTGCAGATGCCATCTGGGTCAGGGTCGTGCAGCGCGAGCTCACGCGGGTGCGGGTGATGTGGCACCCATGGCCTGCCGTCCGAGCGGTGGATATGCTCGAGTCAAAGCGGAATGAGGTCGATCAGCTCGTTCGAGTCGCCGCTGCAGTCGGGAATGTCAAAGACGAGGATGTACACACCGTTCTCGGAGTGCGCCCATCCGATCTGCCTTCACGTTTGAGTCGGCGACGAGTAGTGCAGCAGGATGTCGCGCGTGCGAGGATCCGTGCTCAGTTTGACGCCGGAATCCATGAGTTGAGCGGCGGATAGGAGGTTGAAGCGCAGGTTCTGGACTATGAGCACATCGTTTAGCATGATATGCGTGCGACTTCCGCGTACCTTGAGCACAACGATTCCTTGCGCACTTGCGCGCAGGCGGGTATTGTTCGCCACGGTGACCTATGTGACTGTGGGAGTGGGGACGGCGTTGGAGACGAAACGCTTGGAGCCCACAAGTGTTATGGCGCTTGTTGTCGTCACATGCGGGCAGCTCCAAACGCGGCGTGGCGATGTGTGGTGTGTCGAATTTCAGGAATTGTTCGCACGAGAGCCAGTCGATCGGTGCCGCCCGTGAATCAGGTACGTGCGGGGGGCTCTCAAGCAGCGGGACTGGGAGATTCTAGTCTTGCTCGTCGTCGTCGTTGAAGTCGTGGCGAGTGGTGAACGGATTGTTGTCCGTGAACGCCCCAATTGGATGGCGTGCTGGCTCGGGTGACGGCGCGCGCACGCGTCGACGACGAGATCCGCTCGTCATGGTCGTGTTGCCGATGACGTTGCGGGCTGGAGCAGGCGGTGACGGCTGCTGCTGCTGATGCTGAACCGCTGGGTTTATGTTGCGCGATCGAGGTTGGTACCCCTGGGCTGGACGCGTGTCGTTTCGTGCGTCTTGTCGGCCAAACCAGGTGCTCGGATTAATTTGGCGAGGGTGAGATCGGTGTTTGCATCGATCTGCCAAGTGCCCAAAGTTTCTGCAGATTTTGTAGAAAAGGCGACGCGATCGTCGCTCTTCTGTATTTTCTGCGTAGAAGGTGAGGCGTTCCCGTTCTCGTCGCGGCACTGGTCGCTGCTGGTTCATGTCTCTTTGTTCGACGAGAAGGGCGGCGCATAGGGTGACTTCCGAAATAACCCCCTGCTATCGAAGAAGCGCCTTGCAGGGCCGCCGCTCTGGGCCGAGCCCTTGAAGCACGATGTTCACGAAGATTTTTTCGGAAATGCTGCTTCCCAGCTTCCCGATTCGATCTCGTAAGCTCCGACAACGATTGATGTAGCTGTTGGCTTTCTCCCCGGGGGGGCATTTTTGTCTCCAGTAGCTGTTTGAGCAGGCGGCTCGATGAAACCGAGTCTTTCGGTTGGTACACGCCGTTCAGGTGCCGCCAGGCATCAAGGGCTGGAGCAAATGTTGTCTTGTATGAGCGAATGCTCAGCTGCTCCGCCGGCGACATATTTCTCTGCAGGACGCCGTACGCCATCAATGATTCATTGTAGTACTATGCTCTGGCGTCAGCGGTATCTTCGGCAGGTTCCGCGTAGCTCCCGTCGAAATAATGGAATGTCTGCGCGTTCTGGAGCAGCAGCTCCAGCTCGAAGCTCCAAGTACAGAAGTCTCTGCCGTCAAAACACACATTTGTCTTATTTTTTATATGCTCAGGAACCTTGGTTGCGCAGAGAGAATTGTTGCTTCGCTAGGACGGCAAGTCTTGGGAGTTGAGCCATTCGTTTCGAGGGAGAAGGTGTGCGGGGCGGTATTGTGGCCATTTGAGGCCGGTTGAGAGGGTTGGGAAGATGTTCCCTCGTCGCCATTCAGCAATGTCTGGAGCCCTTGCTCCAAGTTTGTGAGTCGCTGAAGCAGTTGATGTTGTTCAAGGACCGCAGTTCCGATTGTAGTCGTCGCCTCGTTCGTCGCAACCGGGTTGGGTTGCGCTCCAGCCGTCAGATTCATTTGACCTCCAGATCCACCGGCCATTCTTACGCGTGAGCGTGTGCCAGACGCCACTTTAGTTCGCCGATGATTTCGGGTGGTGTTGTTGCGAAGGATTCCTAAGTCGCTCTCATACCATGTCGCGAAAAAAAAAATTGATCGTAACCAGGATCACCTCAGGAAGGTTCGCACAGAGTGGGTGTGTTGGTGGTGGGCCCTTGACCTCGAATCAGAGTGAATGTAAAATGATCGAGATGATTAAAACATGCAAATACAAGCATAAAAATAGTGATACAGGGGAATACCAAATGTCATAGCTAACCATGTATTATAAGGGGTGCATTCCCTTATTCAAATTCAAACCCAACCGTGCGGCGCATACAGTTACGAAACTGTTACCGCCAATTCCCTTGCTCCTGCTGCTGCCCGATGCCATCTGCTCCGACGGTCCAGATCCATTCCAAATCTCTGCGTCATTTCGAGTCACCTCTGACTGTTCGGTTCCTCCTTCGATATTGTGTGCTTCATTTGCTGTTGTCAGTAGTGCACAGTGATTTTCTCGATTTTCCATTCGTAACACCATCTTCCCTCCGCACACTCACTTCCCTTCTTTACCACCCCCACCTTTTAGCTCTCTTCCTTTCATTTCTTCAGCTAGGTTTTGTAAACAGAGTAATATAAAGATAATGAACACCAAATTATGCACATTCCCGAAATGAAGCATGGTGCAGCGAGTCTGAAACAGCACCGCCATTTCGCCGGTTCGGGCGCCCTGGACTGCGCAGCCCCACGAGCGCCAGCATGTGGTCAGCTCGCGTTGAGGGAGGGGAAGGGGGGGAGGGGAGGAGGCGGGGTTGGGGAGAGTCTGCTCTGTATCCGCGCATGTTACATGTACGGTACAGTATGGCGATTTTGACACCGAAGCATGGCACACCTGAAGTTACCCTCTCCCTAAAACACCTGACTTGCAACTGCCCGTCTGGCGAAGTTGCGGCAGAAACGCATGGTGCCAGATGGGGCCAAATATTCCCTGGCCGTACCAGACGGGCAGGCACCGGGCGGGATGCAGTCTGCGCGGCGGCAAATTTCCGATTAGCGAGGCTGCTGCTCTCATTGGCTACGAAATCTTGTCACCTCTCGTGTCAAGTCGTTTTCGTCAAAACTTGCGACTTCCCAAAGTTGATTTCGTCACCATGGGTTTGTGTGATTCACCCCCGTCACTGATAAATTCTACCGTCTGCTACCCTTCCCACATCCATTTTCTCACTCGTCGTTGCAAATCCTGAAGATTGAGACCAGCACTCACACGATCAACCACGGGAGCTTGAGTATACGGTCGATCCGCGCCATGGCGTCGTGGCAGATTTCCGTTCTCGCCCTCTGCACGCTCGCGTCACTGCTGGCGCCGGCTGCGGCGCGGCCCACCAAGGAGGAATTCATAGACGAATTGAAGAAGACCCGCGACGCGCTTGCGGATTCCAAGCTGAACAACCGATATTACGCCACCCACACGCTTCTTGACCACGTCATCCCTCAACTGGGTAAGCCCTGCTCCATTTTCTGCAAGTTATGCGCGTCGCTTTCGCTTCGTCATCTGGTAGATTTCGTTGTATGTCCTTCGGCAATGTATAAATGAGACTGCTTCTGCTTTCTTCGCGATCATGCAGCGACCGACTGGAACCCAAACGAAGATTTTCTCAACAAAGTCGACCACAAAACTTTCATGCTGCCCGAGGACAACGCCATTGCCTCTTCAGCGCCGGACGCGCTCGCGATGATGGTGAAAACCGGCATGAAGCGCGGCGACGTCGACCCCTTCACGAAGCTCTTTCGCGCGCAGATGCTCGACGGCGTGTATGAAGAGGACGACCTCGCGAAGGCGTCGAAGCTGACAGACGTGAATGGCCGCAGCGTGGGGAAGGATGAGATTGTGGACGAGAAGACTAAGGTGAAAAAAGTGCGGATTGGAAAGGGCAAGGCTAAGATCAAGAATTCTGGGATTTTCAGGGGAAGGTTTCTTACCATCCATGGCGTCGACGCGTCGCAGCCGGAAGAGTAATCAGGTTCGGTGCTCTTCTTGGGGTGATCATTTCTTTCGAGTCGACTCTAAAGGTAACCACGACAAGGATTGGCAGATGCAGTAAGCCAAGTGGCTGAGCGCTTTACCAGTTCCGCATGCTGTTGAGGGGAGCTCAGAAATCTAAACAGGCTGCTGCTGTTTCTTTTTTTTCTTCTGCTCGTTTGCGTAATCCACCGGGTCGTTCTCAAATGTTGTTGTATTTGTATCGCGGCACATTGCAAGAGAATTAAATGTCACCACGATGCACGACTTCCTTACAAAACAATTCCTGCTGAATTCTCTGGGGCGTAGCTCATGGTGACTTTTAAGTCGAGTCGACTCAATCCCTGCAGAAATCTCTGGGGCATACCGTAGCTCATGGTCAATCGAACTGGCCTTTTGGAGACGCATAGACACATAGAAATGCCCTTTATCCAGATGCACACTGAGGTTCGCATCCTCGGCCATGTGAGGGTGTGGCAGGGGGGTGACGAGCAGTGCAGGCGGGGATGAGTGGGCGGAGCGGATGCAAGGGAGGGCGCACACAGCATGGTTTGTATGGCGTGCACCAACTGGCACGGGGAAAAAGCTTGCGGAGATGGAACACAGGGGAAGGGGCAGCGGATATAGCATTAACATGGGCCCACGGCATGCACCACCTGGGCACAGCGGTGAGTGAGGGTACATGGGAAGGGTAAGTCTGTCGTGTAACAACACGTGGGAGCCGTGCCTGTGCCTTCCCCTGCTGCCATGCGGTGCTGCTGCTACTCCTGCAGTCTCCACCCTAAACCCTGCCATGTGCTGCCAGGTCAGGTGGCTCTGCCTCAGCCAGCTGCCTTGCAGCAAGAGCGCTGCAGTCTGAAGCGCTGCTGTCTGGAGCTTTGGCGTTGATGCTTCTTGTCTTGCTGCACCCTGCTTCCACTGCATCCTTGCTCCCAGGTGGGCCAGCAGCAGCAGGCAAGTCACACTTGGATACCAATCACGTCAATCTGTCAAATGATATATATAGGTGATACATATTGGTAGGCTGTAGTGGGGTAGATGTTATAGGGGATAACCCCTTAGGGTTTTCCTACTTGTAAAATTTCTCTCGATAGTCAACTCACCTTGCCTAGCTATCTCAACATGGCATCTAGAGCAATGGTCCTAAGGACCTAAGATTGGGGCCCACCTACTCATGAGTTACTTTCCCTACAGCTATACCTACCTTACCTGCTGCCCGCGCGCGCCTCGGCTGCATGCGCGCGTGCATTTTCTTTTTTTTTAGCGCGCCCCGCTGCCTTAGCCGCCCGCGTGCTCGCTGCTGTCGCGCGCAGCTCGTCACCGCGCGCAGCCCGCCGCCACGTGCGACCCGCCGCCGCGTACAGCCCGCAGCCACGCGCAGCCCGTCGCCGCACGCAGCCCGCAGCCGCACGCAGCCCGTCGCCGCGCGCAGCCCGCAGCCGCACGCAGCCCGTCGCCGCGCACAGCCAGCTGCCACGCACAGCCCGCAGCCGCGCGCAGCCCGCTGCCGCGCGCAGCCCGCAGCAGCGCGTGCCCTGCCCTGCCTGTGCGCCACTGCCTCGACCTGAGCGCTTAGCCGCCCGTGAGTCGTGCGCTTACCTGCCTTACGCGCGGCCTGTCACAAAACTGCGTGCTTCCTTACCTGCTACAGTTGCCTGCTGCCTGAGCCTGCTGCCTGAACCTGCAGTCTTTGCCTGCTGCCTGAGCCTGCTGCCTGAGCCTGCTGCCTGAGCCTGCTGCCTGAGCCTGCTGCCTGAGCCTGCTGCCTGAGCCTGCTACCTAAGCCTGCTGCCTGAGCCTGCTGCCTGAGCCTGCTACTTTTGCCTGCGCTACAACCATGGCGACCCTTACTGTTCTCGCCTTTGAGCCTGACGGCCGCCCCATCGAGTTTGACACCTGGCTTAGTGACCTGCGCCTTTACCTTATGACTGACGTCGCAGACGGAGTGTCCCTGCTAGCCTATGTGACCGGCACTGTCCCTACTCCTGCTGAGACTGCTCCTGCCCCTGAACGAGCACAGTGGGAGCTCCGCGATGCTGTCGCGCGCCTTGTTATTCGCAATCACCTACCGATCTCTGAGCGCGCGCATTTCAACCAGCTTAAGACTGCTAAGACGCTGTATGATGCTGTCGTTGCCCGCTATTCCGCCCCGACCACAGCCACCGTTGGTAGTCTCATCCTGCCTTACCTGTTCCCAGACTTAGCCTCGTTTCACACTGCTGCCGACCTTATCACTCACCTCCGCACTAGTGACGCCCGCTTTCGAGCCGCTCTTACCAAAGAGTTCCTCGCCACGAACACCCCCCCGCTGTACTTCACCCTCTACATCCTCGTCACCCGCCTCCCTGACACTCTTCGCTCTGTCAGGGATTACTTCCTTGCCAAGGATCCTCCAACTATCACTCTGGACGACTTCGAGCAGCAGCTGGTCGCAGCAGAGAAGAACATCCTCGCTGTCGGTGCTGCTCGTGGCACTCCCCGCACTCCCCTCTTTGAGGGGTGCTCCCCCTCCCCTCTTGACCCCTCCTACGCCTCTGCTGCTACTGCTGTTGACTTCCTCGGTGCGGAGAAGGTCGCAGCGGCTTCCGCTCCTGGTGGGAAGCGTGGTGGTGGCAGGGGCGGCAAGGGTGGCAGGGGTGGCGGAGGTGGCGGTGGAGGGAGCGGTGGTGGAGGCGGCGGGGGTGGTGGAGGTGGCGGGGGTGGCCGTGGGGGTGGAGGCGGTGGGTGGGGTGGCGGCAGGACCGGGAGCGGTGGAGGCGGCGGCGGCGGTGGTGGGGGAGGAGGCAGCGGCAGTGGCGGTGGAGGTGGGAGTGGGGGTGGATCTGGCCAGAAGGGTGGCCAGCAGCAGCAGCAGCAGCAACAGCCACAGCAGCAGCAGCAGCTTCCTCCCCTCACCTCCCAGCAGCTCAATGACTGGTATGCTGGGCGTGGGGCGTCTCGGGGTTCTGACCGCTGCCCCTATGTCATTCGTACTGGCCCCCGCAAGGGTCGCCCCTGCAACGGTTTTCACACTGAGTATCGTTGTTTTGCTAGGCTTAGTGACGCCTGGCGTACTAAGTATCCTGATGCTACTGAGTTCCCCAACTGGGCAGAGCTGCTTAGGCGTGATGTGCCTATCTTTGATCTGGACTATGATGTTATTCTTGCTGCCATGTATGCATTGACTATTAGTGCTGAGGGTGACTGCTACTTGTGTGTGCCGCCTGACCCCGGTATAAGGACTGCAGCCCTAGGTGCTAGTGAGTCTGCTCCCCTTGGTACTGAGTCGACTCAGGCCTTGCACACGTTTACACTTGACTCTGGTGCTTCCCGCTGTTTCTTTCGTGATAGCACCACCGTCACTCCGCTCCCTGCACCTGTCCCTGTCTCCCTGGCTGACCCCTCTGGGGGCCCAGTGCTTGCACGCGGCACGACTGTGCTCCCGTGCCCGGCGGTCCCGTCTGGTGAGCTGTCAGGTCTCCTAGTTCCCTCGTTCTCTACGAACCTGGTGAGCAACGCCGTCCTCCAGGATCACTGGGTTGACACCTGGACTCCTGGAGGGCAGCGTGTGGCGATCTGTACGTGCTCCAAGACTGGCCGCCACCTGGCCACGTTCACTCGTGAGCCGGGGTCCAGTCTGTACACCCTCACCACTGTTTCACGCTCCGCTCCTTTGTCTCCACAGCTGTACGCGTCTGCTCAGGTAGCTACCCAGTGTGAGTGCCGCCGCCTGTCGCACGACACGCTCCTGTGGCACCACCGCCTTGGTCACCCCTCCCTGCCTCGCCTTCGTAGCATGCACTCTCGCTCTCTGGTCTCTGGGCTTCCCAGGTCTCTGCCTGCCCTCCCTCCCTCGCCTGCGCCGCCCTGCATTCCCTGCGTCGAGGGGCGGCAGCGCGCCGCTCCTCACTCCTCCTCGTTTCCTCCCACAGAGGCTCCCCTGCAGACGCTTCACCTGGACGTGTGGGGCCCAGCCCGCGTCCAGGGACAGGGCCGTGAGCGGTACTTTCTGCTGGTTGTCGACGACTTCACGCGTTACACCACGGTCTTCCCCTTGCGCAGCAAGGGAGACGTCCCTGCTGTTTTGATCCCCTGGATCCGCGCTGTGCGTCTCCAGCTCCGCGAGCGGTTCGAGCGGGACTTTCCTGTCCTGCGTCTGCACTCTGACAGAGGTGGTGAGTTCTCCTCTGACCTCTTGGCAGCCTTTTGTGCGGAGCACGGCATCACCCAGTCGTTCACGCTTCCGGCCTCTCCGCAGCAGAATGGGGTTGCTGAGCGCCGCATTGGCTTAGTCATGGAGGTCGCTCGTACCTCCATGATCCATGCGGCGGCTCCCCATTTTCTGTGGCCGTTCGCGGTCCGGTACGCCGCGCATCAGCTCAACCTCTGGCCCCGTGTCTCCTTGCCGGAGACCTCGCCCACACTGCTGTGGACGGGGGAGGTTGGCGATGCGTCGCGTTTCCGGGTCTGGGGTGCTCGTGCCTTTGTCCGCGATCTCACCGCGGACAAGCTCTCTGCTCGTGCCATTCCCTGCGTCTTCCTTGGTTTTCCTCCTGACGCGCCTGGCTGGCAGTTTTACGACCCCACCTCGCGCCGTGTCTTTGCGTCTCAGGACGTCACCTTTGACGAGTCTGTTCCCTTCTACCGTCTCTTTCCCTACCGCACTGTCTCTCGCCCCCCCCCGCCGCTCTTTCTCGCTCCAGGTCCTCCCCAGGTAGACCCCCTCCCCGCGCCAGGTCCTGCTCCTTCAGGTGTTTCTCAGGTAGACCCTCCGGTACCTGCGCCTGTTGAGGTCACTGGTGACTCAGGTCCTGCTGGAGGTGGTCCTGCTCGGGGTGCTGTCTCTGGGGGTGCTGAGCCTGGGGGTGCGGAGTCTGGGGATGCCGTGCCTGTGCGTGAGGAGCCTGGCGGTGCTGAGCTTGGGGGTGTCGAGTCTGAGGGTGCTGTGCCTGCGCGTGAGGAGCCTGGAGGTGCTGAGCTTGCGGGTGCCGAGTCTGCGAGTACTGAGCCTACGCGTGAGGAGCCTGGGGGTGCTGGCGCTGGAGGTTCTGGAGCAGCTGGGGGTGCTGGCGCTGAGGGTTCTGAGTCTGCTGTTGCGCGGTCTCCTTGGAGTAGCCGCCTTCGTCCACGTGTGCCTCTCACCCCACAGCAGCTCCAGGACTGGTACGGTCACCGTCAGCGTCGCGCTGCTGGAGCTAGGAGTGGTGCTGGACCTTTGTCTACTGGAGGTGCTGGAGTCGCTGGTTCTGGAGGTACTCGTACTGGAGACACTGAGGCTGGAGACCCTGGGACTGGAGGTGCTGGCTCTGGGGGTGCTGCTGCTGGTGACACTGAGGCTGGAGACCCTGGGACTGGGGGTGCTGGTTCTGGGGGTGCTACTGCTGGAGACACAGGGGCTGGAGACCCTGGGACTGGAGGTGACGACTCTGGGACTGGAGCTTCTGGAGCTGCTGGAGGTTCTGGAGCTGCTGGAGGCACTGGAGCTGCTGGGGGTACTGGAGCTGCTAGAGCTGCCGGTACTGATGCAGCTGCGCCGACACGACTGTTCTTCGCTCCGCCGTCTCCGTCGTCTCTGCCGCCGTCTGACTCTGTTCTTCGTCAGGTTCTTACTCTCCCGTCGTCTACTGGTCTTCCGTTACAGCCTGGCTCACCGCTGCCTGCTCCTTCTCCTTACACTGAGCAGACTGGTAGTCCTGCTGAGCGTCGTGAGCCTGTGTCGCGTCCTGTCTCGCCTGCTCGTCCCGGTCGTCGTGTTCCTCGTTCGCGTCAGCAGGCTGTCCCCAGCACACACCTCGTAGTTCGTCGTCCTTCCTCTGCTCTGCAGCCTGTTCCTCTTCCGTCTCCTCCTGCGTCCTCTCTACCTGACGTTCCAGACCCTGAGTCTGACCGGTTTCGTGCTGAGCACCCTACTGTCACGCGTCTGCTAGCCACTGTTGTCACTGACCCGTCGTTTGAGTCTACTGCTGCGTCTGCTCTTGTCGCTGAGCTTGTTGACTTTGCTGCTGCCTGTCGTCTAGACTACGCCGCCAGTCTTGTTACTGCGTCTGCGTCTGTCTGTCCTCCGTCCGTCGGGGGTGAGTGTGCTCTTAGCACGGACGTCCTTGAGGACAGGCAGGAGGAGTTCCAGTGTCTTGCTGCTGCTTTACCTCATCTTGTGTCCTCGCTACTTGCCCCTGAGGGAGACCCGGATGCACCAGACATCCCGACTCCGCGCTCTTACGCAGAGGCGATAGAGAGTCCCTACTCCTCTCAGTGGCAGGCAGCCATGGACGCAGAGATGGCTTCCTGGAAGTCCACAGGCACCTATGTCGACGAGGTTCCCCCACCTGGGGCGAACATCGTCAGTGGCATGTGGATTTTCAGGGTGAAGCGGCCGCCGGGTTCTCCGCCTGTCTTCAAGGCGCGTTACGTGGCTCGAGGCTTCAGTCAGCGAGAGGGAGTTGACTTCTTCCAGACCTTCTCCCCCACCCCGAAGATGACGACTCTTCGGGTGCTGCTGCACGTTGCTGCTCACCGTGACTACGAGCTTCACTCTCTTGACTTCAGCACTGCTTTCTTACAGGGCAGCCTGCACGAGGAGATCTGGCTGCGCCGCCCCCCGGGCTTCACTGGGTCGTTCCCTCCTGGCACCCAGTGGAGCCTCCGACGGCCGGTCTACGGTCTCCGCCAGGCGCCACGTGAGTGGCACGACACACTGAGGACGACACTTGCGGCTCTTGGGTTTGCGCCTTCTACTGCTGACCCGTCGCTGTTTCTGCGCACAGACACTTCACTGCCGCCGTTCTACATCCTCGTGTACGTCGACGACTTGGTTTTTGCCACTGCTGACACTGAGGCTCTCGCCCACGTGAAGTCGGAGCTACAGAAGAGACACACGTGCACTGACTTGGGTGAGCTGCGCAGCTACCTTGGCTTGCAGATCACCCGGGACAGAGCACGCCGCACCATCACCTTGACTCAGTCACACATGGTGCAGCAGGTCCTTCAGCGCTTCGGCTTCACCTGGTCTTCAGCACAGGCCACTCCTCTGGCTACAGGTCACACGCTCTCAGCTCCACCTTCGGACGAGTCCGTAGAGCCGAGTGGTCCTTACCCAGAGCTAGTCGGCTGCCTCATGTACCTGATGACTTGCACTCGACCTGACCTCGCGTACCCTCTTGGTCTCCTCGCTCGCTACGTGGCTCCTGGTCGACACCGACCTGAGCACATGGCTGCTGCTAAGAGGGTACTGCGCTACTTGTGCAGCACATCAGGCATGGGGCTAGTGCTTGGAGGGACGAGCCCAGTTGTCCTCACTGGGCACTCAGACGCTTCTTGGGTTGACGACCTGGCTACTCAGCGGTCGTCACAGGGTTACACCTTCAGCCTTGGCTCTGGTTCAGTTTCGTGGCGTTCTACACGCTCGTCTTCAGTTCTTGGCTCCAGTTGTGAGGCTGAGATCTACGCCACCGCCATGGCTGCACAGGAGTTACGCTGGCTCACCTACCTGCTGACTGACTTGGGAGAGCAGCCTCGTTCTCCTCCAGTGCTGTACGTTGACAACAAGGCCGCCATTGCCTTGTGTGAGGAGCACAGACTGGAACACAGAACGAAGCACATTGCTCTGCGTTACTTCCTGGCTCGAGAGTTGCAGCAGCGAGGCCAGCTTTGTCTTCGTTACGTGGCCACTCGGGCCAACACTGCTGATATATTCACCAAGGCACTTCCGTCTGGTGATCATCAGCGCTTTTGTACTCTGTTAGGCCTTGTGCCTATGCTTCCACACTTGCTGTAGTCTTTGCTTGTACTGTGATCTATATACCTATATACCTGCATGCTGGCTCTTGCTAGGTAGCTCGACACTGTACTGTCATTGCTGCATATATATCTCTACATGTGAACTGGCCTTGTGGCCATTTGCTTGTGCTCAGAATGTGTGGTGACGTTGTGATCCACCCTGAGCTTGTTTTGTTTCTCTTGACTGGTCTTGTGACCCATTGCTCTCCCCCACTTTGCCTATGGGGGTGTGTCAAATAATATATATAGGTGATACATATTGGTAGGCTGTAGTGGGGTAGATGTTATAGGGGATAACCCCTTAGGGTTTTCCTACTTGTAAAATTTCTCTCGATAGTCAACTCACCTTGCCTAGCTATCTCAACACAATCCACATTCTGTCGGCGAATCTTGTCTTCATCTCGTGGTACTGTTGGTACTGAGAAACAATGAGGGGGAAAATGAGGGGGGTTTGGAGTTAGTGCGAGAGGCAGCGCCGCAATGAGTGCGAGAGGCTATGCGTGCGAGAGGCTATGCATGAGAGAGTGCCAAAAACTGCTGGCGAGGTTTCCCAACGCATCTGTCCACGTAACCGTGCACACACCCACATGTAAGTGTGGATGATGGTGGATGGAGGGAGAGAGGGGGGGAGTTGATGGATGTCATCCTAGGCAGGCAGCAGCAGCCATCAACCCTTCCCCACCCCCTCTCTCACTCCATCCATCATCTGGACTGGACTGGAGCTTGATTCTACCAGTAGAAATCTGATGACTTCATAGCAAGATTGCTCTCACTACTACCCCATGCATGGCAGGCATGTTATGGTACGGTAGGTCAAAACAGCTGATTGGCGTACTTCCAAACCAAACGCATGCTGGACCATTGTTGGAATTAGGTTGTATGCACAATTACGTATTGTGATTGTTACCGTATGCTGCCCAAAAATACGCTACTTTATTGACAATCCATTGAGATAATGGAAGCTACAGTATCCGGTTCATCGCAGGGAGCAGAAGCGGGGGCGGTCGCAGAAGAGGCGGCCGAATCTCTTCAAGGCGAAGAGCACCGAGCCTGCGACCACAGCTGAGGTGGCTGCAATGACTGGCGATAAGGGGGAGGAGGAGGAAGCTGCAACGGAATGAGGGGGAAGGGGGAAAAGGGGGATGGGGGTAGTTGAGGGTTGGGAAAGGGAGGGAATGACAACTGAGCTAGCTACCACAGCTGAGATGGCTGCGATGACTGGCGATAGAAGGGAGGGGTAGGAGGCTGCGTTGGAGGGGAAGGAGACATGGGATTGGGGGCCGGGAAGTGGAGGAGGGGGGCTTAGTTGGGGGGTGGGGAGAAGGGTGAAGGGCACCGGAGCAGCGACCACAGCTGAGATGGCTGCGATGACTGGCCATAGAGGGGAGGGGGAGGAGGAGGAGGCTGCAAAGGAAGGAGAGGGGGGAAGATGGAGATGTTGTATGCTTGGAGCGTTTCGGGAATTTAAATCATTTGGTGGGTAGTCACAAGAGAGGGATCAGCCACAGTAGCTTCTATGACCGGTTAGGCGTTCGGGGGGAGGGGGAGTGGGAGGGGGAGTGGGAGGGGGAGGGGGAGTGGGAGGGGGCTGCCTGGGGATCCGGACAAGAGAGGGTGGAAAACAAAGCACTGAACAGCTTGAACCCTGGCGCTACTTAGAACGCATGATTACACAAGATTTTAAATGAATTTCTTGTTGGGAGAATGCCTATGCAGGAAAGAGTTACTCGGGGGGAAAAAAAAAGAAAGAGAGAAAACCTCAAGAAACAGAAGTGCAAGCGATCTGTATAAGGTGACTCACAAGGGATGACGTTTCGCAGGAAGAGGTATGTGGAGGCCACGAGCACCACGAGGGCCACCCTCAGGTTCTGTGCACAGGTGGAAACAGGCAGAGCCAAAGGGAAGGGCATGTGTGAACGGTTGCATGGAAGGGTGAGCAGGCGGGCAGGTGTGCGAAGAGAGTACGAGAGTTCTCATTAACCACGTACCAGAACACGTAGGTCAAGGTTACACCACATGTGAAGGTGTTACCACAGACTGTGTATAGAATTAAAAAAAAAAACCTGCAGGTATAGATACGTACTGTGTATAGAAATTCCAAGAGTTCTCAGAAAAAAAGTAATATGAAGGTGTGTGCACGTACTGTGTATCTCTCAATGCCCGTGCGCGTGAATGGAGATGGAGCGCCCTGCTTGACTGTGTAGTTGCCCATCACCAGATCCAGCCCGTCCTGTGGGTAGTGGGGTCACAGTGAAGGGAGATGATTGGAGGACAGGGCTAACAATGGGGGGATCGTAGACGGGGGGGGGGGGGGACAGGAGCAGGGGGATGAATGGAGATGGAGCGCCCTGCTTGACTGTGCAGTTGCCCATGACTAGATCCAGCCCGTCCTGTGGGTAATGGGTGGTAGCAATGAGCAGGACATGGGAGGATAACGGGAGACTCGTGATGAATGGGGATGGATGGAGCGCCCTGCTTGCTTGACTGTGCAGTTGCCCATGACCAGATCCCCTGTTGATAGTGGGATTAGGATGAAGCGATATGATTGGCGGACAGGGCTTTGAGATATCGATGAAAATAACATAGACGCAGGACAGGAGCATGGGGCTGAATGGGCATGGAGCGCCGCGCTTGCTTGATTGTGCAGTTGCCCGTGACCAGATCCCGGCCGTCCCGTGGGTAGTGCGATCACAATGAAGGGAGACGAGCGGATGACAGGGTTTTAAGATGCATAGGAATGGATGCAGTGCCCTGTTTGACCATGCTAGATCTAACCACCAGCAGCAACCCTCGTTTTTATCACCTCTCGTTTTTATCACCCTCACCTGCTGCACGCCATCAGTGTAGTTGTTGAAGAAGCATTGCATTGAATGGCAGCGCTCGCCCCATCCTTCATCACTTACGTGTATCGCCCTCACCGTTCCCGAAGAGAGCCCCACTCACCTGCCGCACGCCATCAGTGTAGTTGTTGTTGAAAGCATTGTATGGCAGCGCTCGCCCCACGGAACTGTTTGAAGGAAGCATTGCTATTTCCCCCAATATTGAATCGAATAAGTCACCCTCACCCGCCGCACGCCATCACTATCTTTGTTGAAGAAGTATCGCATCACAGCGCTCACCCCATCGTGCACCACAGCAATCAGTAACGAACACCTAAATCACCATCGCTCGTGACTCACCTGCCGCACGCCATCAGTGTAGTTGTTAAAGAAGTATCGCATCACGGCACTGACTCCGTCCTGGAGGAAACCCTCCGGGCTGCGCTTGCCGTACCTGCAGGGCATTCATGAGGGGGTGTGGCAGTAACAGGGATGGACAGAGAGACCTGTGTAAACGTACGGGAAAAGCTAAACCACCACGGCACTGACTCCGTCCTGGAGGAAACCTTCCGGGCTGCGCTTGCCGTACCTGTGGGGCACAGCAGGCGTGACAGTAAAGAGGTAGGACAGAGGGCCATGTGTGACGGTTTAGGGTTATGACGCCATGTACGCCATGAGCGCCATGTGTGACGGTTTAGGGTTATGACGCCATGGACGCCATGAGCGCCATGTGTGACGGTTTAGGGTTATGACGCCATGTACGCCATGAGCGCCATGTGTGACGGTTTAGGGTTATGACGCCATGTACGCCATGAGCGCCATGTGTGACGGTTTAGGGTTATGGCGCCATGTACGCCATGAGCGCCATGTGTGACGGTTTAGGGTTATGACGCCATGTACGCCATGAGCGCCATGTGTGACGGTTTAGGGTTTTGACGCCATGTACGCCATGAGCGCCATGTGTGACGGTTTAGGGTTATGACGCCATGTACGCCATGAGCGCCATGTGTGACGGTTTAGGGTTATGACGCCATGTACGCCATGAGCGCCATGTGTGACGGTACAGGGTTATGACGCCATGTACGCCATGAGCGCCATGTGTGACGGTTTAGGGTTATGACGCCATGTACACCATGAGCGCCATGTGTGACGGTTTAGGGTTATGACGCCATGGACGCCATGAGCGCCATGTGTGACGGTACAGGGCGGGCAACCTGTTTAGAGTAACGGGACAACCTTTTATGCGCCGAAAGAAAGGTGGCGCTTAATGCACACAGTCCTTGTGAGCGAAATTTGGGAATTCTAAAAAATCGCTCACGCAGTCCTTTGTGGTGCATCGTGTGCGCGACCGAAAGAAGGGTGGCGCTTACCGCACGCTTGAGTGCCGGCCTGTGTGCTAATGAGTCGACTCAAAATGATGTTTGAGTTTTGAGTCGACTCAGAAATTATGAGTCGACTCAAAGGGTGGCGCTTACCGCACATAGTCTCCCTTGAGTGCTGGCGTGCCCGTGTACTGTGTGCTGATGTCATCACCATGGTCCGCCCACACTGACAGAAAGCACATCGGGAAAAGAGGAAAGGAGTGAGAGAGAGTTATTGGTCTGGTAGGTTGTGCGATAATGTGGATGATGTGCCCGTGTATTGAGTGCTGATGTCATCCCCATGGTCCGCCCACACTAACAGGTAGCATATGGGGAGAGAGAGGGGGGTAGGAGAGAAAGGAGCGAAAGACTTGAAACTAAATTCATTCAAAAAAAGCATAGCAATAGTTGTATGTTACACTACTGGAAATCGCTGTGCTCCACCACACGCTCATCCTGACCCCTATTTGACTCAGCTCACAACTTACAAAGCATGCATGTCCCTTTTATGGGAATCTCCCACAGCCTGACTACTCTGTGATCTCTCCCCATACTCCAATCCCCTTCCACTCACTGATCTCGTAATTGGCTTCTAAGTCGCTCTGTGCTCTGCCACCCTCAGAAACATTCCACATTAGCCCATCTCTCCCCATTCACTCCTCACTCCCACACACTCCAATCCCCCCCCCCCCAACACTCCAACCTCCCACCACTCACTGATCTTGTACTTGGCGTCAAAGTCACTGTGCTCTGCCACCGTCTCATCCTTCCCCAGCAGCCCCATATGCCTGAGCTCATGCTCCAGCACATGCCGGGCGAACCAGCTCTGCAAAGAGGAGTTGGAGGGTGAATGGAGGGAGGGGGACGGGGAGGGAGGGAGGGAGGGGGGGTTCTATTGAGCCACCCAGCAGCCCCATGTGCCTCAGCTCATGCTCCAGCACATGCCAGACAAACCAGCTCTGCAAAGACGAGGAATCGGATTTTGGATAGAGAGAGACGGACAGGGATGGATGGGGGGTCATATTGAGTCACCCAGCAGCCCCATCTGCCTCAACTCATGCTCCAGCAGCACGTGCCGCGCGAACCAGCTCTGCAAATAGGAGTTAGAAAGTGATTGGGTGGAGGGGACGGGGAGGGAGGGGGGGCTCTATTGAGTCGCCCAGCAGCCCATCCGCCTGAGCTCATCCCCCAGCAAATCCCACATGCCGGGAAAACTAGCTCTGAAAAGACAAGGAATTGGGTGGAGGGGACTGGGAGGGAGGTTGGGCTCTGTTGAGTCGCCCAGCACCAGCAGCCCCGTATGCCTCAGCTCATGCTCCAGCACATGCCGCGCGAACCAGCTCTGCAAAGAGGAGGGAGGGGGGGGGGGGGGTAGCGGGCGGATGGAGGGGAGGAGGAGATATTATCGATTCACTCAGCAGCCCCAGTCCCAGCAGCCCCATGAGCCTCAGCTTATCCCCGAATCCAACTCACAAACCAGCTCTGAGAAAAATAGGAATTGGAGGGTGAACAAAGCGAGGGGGACGGGGAGGGATTTGGTTGGATGATCAGTATTTTGGTGGTGATAAATCTTGAAATGCAGGCACCACGAGTCACGGGCACGAGGATTCATCAGCGGTTTGCTTGCCACCTGAGAGCACACCTGAGCAATGCAGTCAAGGCAGTTGACACGCTCAGTAGTGCGCGCTGTGTTATGCTGTTGCTACCTGACGAATCACAAGAGAGATACCTGAGAACCTACCTGAGTGACATTGTGCAGTCGAGACAGTCAACACAGTTGGTACGCACTGTGCCATGCTGCCGCTACCTGAATAATCACCTGAGCAGCACCTGATAGCCCACCTGAGAGACGTTGGTGCGGTCAGGACTGTCATACGCAGTTAGTGCGCACTGTGCCGTGCCACCACTACCTGACATTCACCTTAAGGGACACCTGAGAACCCACCTGAGTGACGTTGGTGCGGTCAAGGCAGTCAACGCAGTTGGTGCGCACAGTGCCATGCTGCTGCTTCTGCACCGACCCGTCCTTGCCTTGCAGGAAGAATCTGGTGTTTGGGGGGGTGAAGAGGAGGGAGAGGGAAGGGCAGAGAGAATGCGTCGCTGTTGCTGATGCTGCTTCCGCACTGTCCCATCCTTGCCTTGCAGGAAGAATCTGGTGCGGGAAGAAAGAGGTCGGAGACAATGACAGGCAGAAAAAGGAATGATTCGTAGTCTGAGGGCGCCTCTATTTTTGAGGCGCCTCAAAAGACAGGCAGAAAAAGGAATGACTCGTAGTCTGAGGCACCTCTACGTGCGTTGGTGCACACTTTGCCCTTCTGTGTTGTGTTCTTTCCATGCTGCTAGCTTCTACACTGGCCGGGCCTCCTTGTACCGATCCGCCTGCCCTTGTTTAGCAGGGAGAAATGACAGCAGCAGAGCAGAGAATGGAAGGGATGGAGGACGAGTGAGAGGAGGACCACTTCAGGCTGGTTGAAACGTGTGACTGGCGCTGACTCTTCACTCATGATTCATCCATCCTTGCCTTGCAGGGAGAAACTGGTAGTCGGTCAAAAGGCTAAGGGGGAGAGGGGAGAAGGGAGACGTGCGGCGTGCCACATCTGCGTGTCCATGTCTTTGACAATCTGGTCGTGCAACAGGGATCACTCTAGAGTCAGCTGAGGTGATCGACTGGCATGTGATGGTACAAGAACCAGAGAGAACTGGGGCGTGCTGAAGCTACTGTTACTCACCCCTGGGTCTTCATGTCCTTGCCGAGCTAGCTGAGGTCACGGCTGACATCACGCGATCATGTGATGGTAGCAGAGCCAGAAAAAGAGGGGCCTTAGGCAACTCACCCCTGTGACTCCATGTCCTTGCCGATTCGGTCATATTTGAGAATCCTTTAGTGTTCTTGAAAACTCTCACCAGGCCTTAAGCAACTCACCCCTGGGCCTCCATGTCCTTGCCGATCTGGTCGTCCAGCTGGGAGAGCTGGTGGTACTTGGTGGCACCGCACTCGTGGTGGAAGTCAAAGGGCACGTAGCTGGTGTGAGGGGGAGGTATGGCAGAGCCGCAGGGGGAGATGGAAACGAATGCCGAGGAAAATGCAACTAACTGAAGCGCAAGCTGGTGGCTCTCGGTGGCACCACACTCATGGTGGAAGTCAAATGGTACGTAGCTCATAAGTTTTATTATTATAGTATGAACCAAGCACTTAAAACGAGGGTCTAGATTTGACAAGCGGAGGTTCAGAAGTTTTTATTCTGAACCAGGCTTGCTAGCGCGAAGGTGTTGGCTGGCGAAAACCTGGAATTCGTGCGGGGACTTTTCCTCCGCAGTAACTGGTCGCCAAGGTTTAGGGTTTCGGGTGGCAAATGTGCACCGTCGCTTTAAGGTGAATGTGAACGGCGGTGTGAACCCAGGGGCACTCCTCACTCATGCGAACGATTTATGCGCTGGTTTATGCATGCTTCTGGACAATAAGTGTATGCATACATGCCGAATACACTTAGAGTATGCACTCGGTACATGCATCCAGATGCCTTACTGCAAGTCAGAGTCCTTGATGGCGTTCACAGCTCCGGCATATGCTGCTGAACACTAGGCGTACGCATACACGATGAATACGCTCAGAGTATGCACATGGTACATGCATCCAGATGCCTTACAGCAAGTCAGAGCCCTTGCCGGCGTTCACAGCTCCTGCAAATGCTGCCAAACACTAGGCGTATGCATACATGAAATATACGCTCAGAGTATGCACATGGTACATGCATGGGTCATACATGCATGGGTCATACCGCATGTCTTGGTCCTTGATGGCGTTCACAGCTCCAGCATAAGCGGATCCGATACGGCTCTCCCCACCATGCTGTATGCATGCAGGGCGCAGGTAAGCCATACCAAGAAATCACATGCCATACCATAACATGCCATGACATGCCATGACATGCCATCACATGCCATCACATGCCATCACATGCCATCACATGCCATCACATGCCATCACATGCCATCACATGCCATCACATGCCATCACATGCCATCACATGCCATGCCATCACATTCCATGCCATCACATGCTATGCCATGCCATGCCATGCCATGTCATGCCATGATTTGTCATCACAGGCCATAGCATGGCATGTCAGAAGCATAACACATTGCAGATGCCACCCCCCACAGCATTTCGTGCATGCACATTGCCAACAACAGTCAACAGGATTGCAGATAATAATCAGAATAAAAATGGCAAACTCTAGCAACAGCAATGAAACCAAGCAACCAATCCAACGCTGGCCTACCTTACCCCATTTGCACGGTTGACTGGGTCAACAGGTACACGCCCACCTTGCCTTTCCGGTACCTCGTTGACCAGGTCAACAAATAGCCTCGTATTTTCCCAGTATTTGACCAGGTCAGCAGGACTGTTCTTTCTTCCCCCACTGCAATACCTGGTTGACCAGGTCAGCAGGACACTATTCTTTTTTCCCCAACACAATCCTATTTTCCCCAGCACAGTACCTGGTTGACCAGGTCAACGGCAATGACAGGGCCGTAGATCTCCTTAAGCCCCCTAAGGTGCTGCCTCAGGGGCGCTTCAAAGGGTTGCTGAAAGTGGGGGACAGGGGGAGATGGGAGGGGAGGGGAGGAGGGAGGGCGGGGTAGGGGAAGGAAGGACAGGACTGTTGAGTGCACGCAAGAATGCCAGATTCATCGATCTCCTTAAGCCCCCTACGATGCTACAAGTGGGTAGAAGAGTGTGAGGGAAGGTACAGTACGGTGCAGGGGTATTGGTGGAAGGTAAGGCAAAGGTGGAAGAAGTGAAGAATGGAATGACCATCAGAGAAGCGATCCATGCAGTGCATTGCATTACTATCCAAAATCCCATACAAAACATGATGCGCATATGAATGTAAACATGCGAGTGTTCTACGTCTACATAATGCTGCGCTGCGCATGTACACAAATCACCAATCTGAGACAAGTGAAATAGGCTTATCTGCGCTTGGGCCTTGTGCCCTCAACTCTTGAAAGCATCTCTCACTGCGGCTGTGACTACAGTTTGGAGCTTGGGCTTGTACGTGAGGCTAACGATCGTAGACCAGTAGGAAAGGGCAGGGCATCATCTGCACATGAGCCCTGTGCCCTCAACTCTTGAAAGCATCTCGTACCTCGGCTGTGACAACAGTTTGGAGCTTGGGCTTGTACGTGAGGTTGACGATCTGCTCCCACAGCACTGGGATGGAACCCCTGATCTGAGAGAAAGGGAGCGAGGGTAGAGGGGAATGAGCACAGCGGAGCGTTTGAGCGTTTAGTGCTACAATCAATGCACTGTGTGTGCGGTCAACGATCTGCTTCCACAGCACCGGGATGGAGCCCCTCATCTGAGAGGGGCAGGGGGCACAGGGGAGAGGACAGAGGGGAGAGGACAGAGGGGAGGGCAAGATGGCAAGCATGCATCCTTCAAGGTGAGGCGTCTCAAAAGAAACGTGTGTGTGCGTGAAGTCAACGACTTGCTCCCACAGCACAGGGATGGAGCCCCTGATCTGAGAGAGAGGGCAGAGAGCAGGATAGCATGCAGGCGGTGTCTGAGCCTCGAAGTTTGAAGTAAGGTGCTTCACCGCAACGTCTATGTGTGGCCAACAAGGAAACAGTGCCGTGGTCCACTGTCGCCACTTGCTCAACTGAACTGCAATTAGCACTGGGAAGTGTGCGCCCAGTGCCTGGCACTCACCTACACGCTACACCTGGCAATTAGCACTCACCTGAACATATGACGCAACAGCGCCCCCATCCACCGTCACCACTTGCTCTGTTTCCACAAAGTTGGCCACCGCACCCTTGGAGTCTGCACCTCGACGCCACATGCGCGTGCCTGCGAGCATAGGGGGAGAAATGAAGAAGGAAGGAGATGGAAGAATAAGGAGGTGGGGGAGGTGGGGCCACCGCACCCTTGGAGTTTGCACCTCGGTGCCACATGCGCGTGCCTGCAGGAGAGGGGGAGAGAAGAGAGCGCCAAACAAGGAGAAAGGAGTGGAAGGAGGTGAGGAGAAAGGAGTGAAAGAGGATGAGTTGATAGCACAGTTGGCCACTGCACCCTTGGAGTTCGCACCTCTGCGCCAGTGCGAATGCATGCAGCACGGGTTGACTTTTGAGTCGACTCAAAGTCACCTGTGCGCCAGTGCGCATGCATGCAGCAGCACGGGTTGGAACATCAATGATGCGTGCGAGCACTCATTGTTGCAAGGATCTTTAAGGCGCCTCAAAAATCGTCTCAGTTCACACGGTGCGTGCACTCATTGTTGCAACGATCACGTTCGGAGCGCCTAGGCTCACAATTACGTACGTCTGAGAACTGTGAAGGACGCAAACGATATACCAGACTAGTCTTTTGAGAGCTGGTTTTTGGGGCTTACCAATTCTGTCGACACCGCGGCGAGCGATGAGGGTGACCTCGACTGGACACTTGTTGATTGCTGATTGGATGCTGGCAAAACGTGCTCGGTTGATAGGCACACAAAAGTACGGCCATGAAAGGGAAGGAAAAAGGAGAGAAGGAGAGGGGGAGCGAGGGAGAGAGGGAGAGAGGCGGAGAGGTAGAAAGGGGAGAGAGAGACAAGCCCAAGAGAAGGCAACAGAAGAAGCCCCATCGAAGGGGAAAAGTAGTGGCCAACAGGCACAAGAAGAGCAGGAGGAGATGCAGAGAGGGAATGAACAACAAGGGATGGAAGAACCAGAAATAAGGGCAGGAAAGAGACGAGCAAGGGTGATTGGTTAAGGAAAGCTTGGCTTTCGAGAACATTGCAATGAAGACAAGAGAAAGTGACAAGAACGTGGAGTGGAGCACAGGAGGTAACATGCAGACGAAGGAGTTGGTAAGTTGATAATGGCAGGAGGACAGTAGGCGAAGGCACGTAGGAGATGAATCCAAGAAGATGTAGTGATAGTCCGGTGGATGGCAATTGGAGTGATTGATGATTGGAAGGAGGAATGGTGGAAGGGTTGGGGTGCGGGGGTAAGGGCGGCGGAAGGACGCTGAGAGGATATTTCCTTGCATTACGGGGACGACAAAGGGGGCAGCCTGCAAACGAGAGCCATTACAAGTGGGTTGCAGGGACAGGGTAGAGGGGCGGGGCAGGAAAGGGCGGGAATGAAGAGAAGAAGCAGAGAGAAAGGAAAACCGAAGGGGCAAAGTGAGAGGGTGATTTGGACGGTGGAGGCAAGGCAGCTTGTGCGGGCTACCTTGTGCGAGCTACCTTGTGCGAGCTAGCTTGTGCGAGCTACCTTGTGCGAGCTACCTTGTGCGAGCTACCTTGTGCGAGCTACCTTGTGCGAGCTACCTTGTGCGAGCTACCTTGTGCGAGCTACCTTGTGCGAGCTACCTTGTGCGAGCTAGCTTGTGCGAGCTACCTTGTGCGAGCTACCTTGTGCGAGCTACCTTGTGCGAGCTACCTTGTGCGAGCTACCTTGTGCGAGCTAGCTTGTGCGAGCTAGCTTGTGCGAGCTACCTTGTGCGAGCTACCTTGTGCGAGCTACCTTGTGCGAGCTACCTTGTGCGAGCTACCTTGTGCGAGCTACCTTGTGCGAGCTACCTTGTGCGAGCTACCTTGTGCGAGCTACCTTGTGTAATCCTGGTGGTGTGAGAGGATGGACGTGGAACCTTTGGGGCTTTATTGGTGTCTTCCAGGCAACCACTGTGTACAAACATTGGGGCAGCTCATATTGAAGACAAAAAAGCGATTGCACAACTTGGGACAAAATGTATCAAAGCTGAGATATGCAGTGCAGTGCAGGAAAGCTTTCTGATGAGTGCAGTGCAGTGCAGGAAAGCTTTCTGATGAGTGCAGTGCAGTGCAGGAAAGCTTTCTGCTGCTAACCTCAGGAAAGCTTATCGCTCGCTGCTGGAGATGCAGGTTCCAGAAGAAACGATCGTCCACCTGCTCGAATTAGCAGCATCCCCCATCACGTACCCCATCCCACAGAAAGAAACACAAGACAAAGCACAAGATTACACTTTGGAGAATACATAAGCAGTATGCATGCCATGCCAGGACGACAAATGCACTGACTGGAGGTAACACGCGGTTGCATTTCCGGGTTCGCATAACTGCCTGCATTGGTACGTGCAGTGCAGTGCAGCTTACCTGCTTCCACAGGGGCTTTGGTCCAGCAGGTTCAGCTAGAGTCTCCCTCTGTAAGCTGCATGCATGCATGTCATAATGTAACAAGGCGTTACACAAACACAGACAGAGTCACAGACACAATGTATCATAATCTTGACAAACAATAGAGCACAGGTGATGGCGCTTCTCATGCAACTCAAAGATTGAATATTTGAAGCACAGTGCGCCTCGGTCATGCATAAGCCACACAGAAACACAGAATGCGCTTACATACACACACACACAGCGAAAGTTTTGGGATGCAGAACCCAAGCGCACCAGGGAATGAAAGCGAACATGACAGATTTAGCGCGCAGTTTCGTGGTTAATGGAGTCATCTCAATACGGATGACGTCAGCACACCTGGTGGTGATGTCAGCGCCGTATGAGAAGAAGAGACCGTGAGCTGACATGGCGGAGCGCAGGCGAACGAGGTACTCCTCCTCGTCCGCTTTCTGGGGGGTAACGGCATGATGGGCGCATAATGCAGAGGGTATATTAGATAATTCCCCAAAAGGTCGTGAGCTGACATGGCGGAGCGCAGGTGAACGAGGTACTCCTCCTCATCCGCTTTATGGGGGGTAACGGCATGATGGGGACATGATGGGGATACAATGAAGAGGGTATCATTTAGAATACTCGGAGGGGCCAAGAGCTGACATGGCAGAGCGCTGTAGGCGAACGAGGTACTCCCCCTCGTCCACTTTTGAGGCGCCTCAAAAGGCGAACGAGGTACTCCCCCTCGCCCACTTTCTGGGGGTGGGGGTAGCGACATGGCATGTTGGGCCTACAATTCAGAGGGACCATGCTTGAACGTCAGTGACCCGTGTACAGAGGTTGGGAGAACGCGAAGAGCATTGTCAATCCACCTCCATTCAAGCAGGCATGCATCAAACCACCATGAGCTGAGTATCTCCCTCTTGCATCTTCTCCATTCATAACCCTCTTCCCACCCTCTCTCTGATTGCCTTGTGCTCTCATCCCTCACAAATTACTCTACTCCCGTTATACTCAGGCCCTGCTACAATCCTCTTTCGTTACTTTCACGCACCTGCTTGGGTGAGAGGGAGTCCTTGGAGCAGCATGGCACTATATCGAAGGCCGTGGCTCGGAACACGTGCGCACCCTTGAACGCGCCGACGAGCTGCCGGTTCGTCACCAGCAGCACGTACGTGCCTGATGGCGAACGGTCAAGGGGCGATTAATGAAGTGAGGAGAACAGTGAGGAGAACAGTGATAGGGAAAAGTGAAGGCAGCTCGACGAACACGTGCGCGCCCTTGAACGCGCCCACGAGCTGCCGGCAGCACGTACATTGAAGGGACGAACAGTGAGGATAACAGCGAAGGGGAAAAGTGAAGGCAACCCGACGAAGACAAGGGGACACATCAATGAACGCGAGGCAAAGGCAGGCCGACGTGGGTTTAGAAATGCCGGGCACGCGATTGGATAGCTTCAGAGCATTGCGCGTAAAAAACGTGCAAACGGATGAAACACGCCATGGATGTGTGAGAACCCACCTGCAAGCAGCTCGATGAAGCCGAGGAGAAGGCACGCTGACTTGGGCTCTGCGACCGTTCCCGCAAGCGACGGCTCGCCTGAAATGTCGGAGAGTGGAGAAAACACGGGGAACGGAGACACATTTTTGAGTCGACTCAAAAGTCCGGCGAGCGACGGCTCGCCTGAAATGTCAGAGAGCGGAGGAAACACGGCGAACGGAGGCACATTTCTTTGAATGTCTGTAGCGAGTTTGTTTGTTTTGTGAGACCAGACAAGACGGAGAAAAGCACGAGCAGCCACGAAGATGGAATAACGCGAAACTAGAGAAAATAATGGAATTTTGGCCCTCGTATAGCGCAACGCGCATGCAGATGTTGATGAGACGCGAAAAAGTGCGCAATTCAGGCCATCGATACACAAGCGAAGACAATGCTATAAACAACAAGATGCCATGCGGGAAATAACATCACATGTCGGCCCTATCTGCCAGCTGTCAATCTCGCAGATCGCGGCACGCAACAGGCCATTGGATGTACCGACCGAAGCCTGACGGATTTCCGAATCTCCGCCGCTCGCATAGCCAAGTCCATCAAAACTCTAACGAGCACGATCCGCTCTGTCTTCCCTTCGCCGAGAACCGATTCCGCCACTTTCGGTACCGGAACGTGAGCGGTTCTTTTAGGAATCGATACCCAAACTGTCGCCTTCGCATTGCCAACGCTATCAAATAAATCACGAGAGCTACGTATGCAGCAAACTCTTGAAGCAAGCCCAGCTGCTGCTGAGAGCCAACTTTTGCAAGGAAACGGGTCTAGATCACCCGAACTACAGTACCGCTGACTTCGTTCTCTCCTAAGCGAAACTCGTTAAGCACATTGAGGGAGTCAGCAGTATCCGACGTGGCCTTTCGACGGCTTGACAGGCTATGGCCCGAAAAAAGCAAGCTTTTCACCAAGGACTACATTTACATCCATGTGTCAATGGCTGTACCTCCGACGCTCAGGCTGCCGTCGGATCGGCGGATGGCAAGGCAGCTGGTGGACGCATCCAGCGGCTCCAGGAGCAGCTCTTCGGAATACTGCCAGACGCGAAATCCCGTGCACAGCGCGGGAACTGGGACACCCATGCTTCCTGACGCTTTGAAGTGGTTTTTTTTTTTTTTTTGAACTCTCCAAGAATTTTTATGAAAGCTCTCTGAGGTAGAACACTGAAGCTGCTTCACAATGCAGCCTGGAGGGATGTGGATCCAGAACAGGAATGCTGGTCTGGAAAGAATCACCACACTTCAAGATTGAAGCTGGAGACACGGGTTGGGCGACTGAATTATCGTCCCAGCCAGGCCTATCTTCCTATACGGGGAACCTTGGAACCTCCGTTCCCCTGCCCTGCTGCCTAGATTTCTCCTCCCTGCTTGTGTTTGCTGTATCTGAAATCTGAACCTCCCAACCAAGCTCACCATAGATACAGCAAGAAGGTGCCCCTTTCAGGACACTTTCACCCTCCCTTCCCGTTTGGGGGAGTTCAGTTCAGTCAGGGCGGGTCCAGCTCATCACAGCTCAGGTCATATTTAGCCTCTGTAACCTTTTTCCGTAGGGTTACCGTGACAAATCTTGAGACCAGCCGGGATGACGCGCTCGGTTTTCCCACATGCAAAACCAGTTTCATGCCACAACACATTTCAAACTTGAAAATTTTCCGAAAATTTTGCGAACTGGGAAGCAAGAGCAAATCAAACTCTCTCGCTCACGCTTCTCAGTAACAGAGGATACTCGTGATTGCGAACTGGATTATTTTCGTCAGACTGTAATCCGCCTCGCAAGAGTTCCGATTCCTCGGTGTCTTCCCGCAAAAACCCCTGACGAAGTCTGCCGATTGCACGGATGATTTTTTCCCCCACCAACTTCTGTTGATACGGGAGGGATGCTGTGTCCGTGTTGATGGTACACCGGTTCGTTTGGGCAGGTGCTGTGCCCGCCTGGGATCGCCTTGACGCTGGACGTGTTTAGGTTCGAATTGGCTGTTTACTTCCGGACAGTCAACATTTTGTTACAATCGTGTTATCCCCGAAACGAAACGAGTTGGACCCGCCCTCAGAACTCCAGAATCCAGATTCCAGAAACCAGGGGATTGGATTGGTTGGAGAAACCAAGGGATTGGCTTTGAACTTAGGAGGTTCTGCTGCTGCGGCTGCGAAGCCAGACTGAACTGAACGCGACGGAATGCCCAAGGTGCAATCCAAGTAAGGAACAACTGGTGCTCGCGCAGCAATCGGCGCTGGTCGCGCTTGACTTGGGCGCGGTGCTGCTGGCTTTGCGCGGAGCTGGGAGTGTTGCGTGGAGGTGCAAGAGTTGCGCGGCTATAACTTGAAGGAACTGCTGGCGGAGGATCTGTGTGGTGTAAGGTGGGGCTGGCTCGTGGTTGGTGGCGTGGCACCGCGGTGGCACCAAGGGTGGTGGAGGAGGCAACAGCGAATCAGCGACCACTTTGAAACGCGGGAAGATTCGTCAATGCACCTGATTCCAAAATTTCAGGGGCAAACCAGCTGCGGGCAAACATCCCAGCCACTTCTGTATCCGTTTTTAGTTCTTCACAACCATCCAGAAGAGAAAAACGATTTATATAGCCTTTCCAGCAATATACTCTCACCTATGAAACCCTCAAACATCTCTAGTCTGGTACTCTGAGTTCTTGCCCTCATATTAATCGCTGGGATGATCTTTGCATACGGGGAAAAGAATGCTTAGCACCTGCGCACTTACCGTCTGTTGCTAAAAAAGGCATGAATCTACCACAGTATTGAAGATCACAAACTAAAATTGCATCCCACTCTGCCCCAACACCCCTGACCTTTTTCTGGTACCCATTTTTGCCAGTGAGCACTTCTAGGGTGTTCTAACCCTTCGCTCAGAAACTATCAGGCCCAGATCGGGCTTCTCTTTGAGAAACTCCGGAATGATTCTTAATGAACCGCAGCACCTAATTTCCACCTGCCAAAGCCTTCGCAGATGCCGCAAGGACCTGGGTAATTCGGTCATTCTTGGCAGAGTGGTCAGCTGTAACCATTCAAGTGACGAGAGTAACCCAATATTGGTCGGTAACTGCTTGAAATTTCCGCATTCTTCGATAACCAGCTCCGATAAGCAGCGAAGATAAGGGAAAGAACTGGGTAGCTCGCTTAGGAGGTCGCAATATTGCAGGGTTAATCGCTCTAGTCGAGACAGCTGCCCAAAAGATTCTGGCAGGTCAGCAAGTCTGGGCAGGTTCGAAAGTTTCAGGATACGGAGACTGGAGAGATTCCCAAGCGCAGAAGGTAGGGAAGGGAGGAGATCGCAGGAGGAGAGGTCGAGTGAGGTGAGGGCGGATAGGAGGGGAAGAGAGGGTGGTAGAGCTCTGAGGTTATTAAGCAGTGAGAGATGGAGGGAGGTCAGGCGGGGCAGAAGGCTGATGGTGGCAGGCAAGCATCTGAGGGATTCACATTCTGTTATGGAGAATGACTGTAATGAGTGCATGGTGGCCATGGAGTGTCTTAACGCAGACCTGCCTGGATTGATCCTCTGCTTCTTTGCTGCTGGCAACCCCTCACCCCCATCCTCCTCCTCTCCCTCCTCCCCCTCATTCCCCTCCTCCATCTCATCTTCCTCCGCTTCCCACTTGCCCTTCTCGTTCCTCTCAACCCTCTTGTCTTTTTCGTCCTCTCCCTCCTCCCCATCATCCCCCTCTCCTACTTCCTCCTCCTCCTCGCCTTCCTTCACGACAGCTACTAGCAATTTACAGCCTTCGATATGAAGGCATTCGAGGGAGGAAAGAAGGCAGAGCGAGGAGGGGAGGGAGGAGAGCATGGGGCAATAACCAACGTGCAAGCGAGTGAGGGAGGGGGCGAGGAGCGAGAGGGTTTCCGGGATGGAGGAGACGTTAACGAGGTGTGAGAGAGTGAGAGTGGCCAGGGTGGGGAGTGAGAAAAGGGGAAGTGGAAGGTGTGTGATGTGGGGATTGTGCCACAAATTTATGTGAAGTGACTGCAGCGACGTCACCGCACTCAGCCCCTCTAGTATAGCAAACTCAGCAGCAGTAGCACCATCAGCACCATCAGCACCATCAGCACCATCAGCACGAGCAACAGCAGCACCATCAGCACCATCAGCACCAGCAACAGCAGCACCATCAGCACCAGCAACAGCAGCAGCAGCAGCCCCCACACCAGCAGCAGCAACAGCAGCAGCAGAATTACTTGCTCTTATAGGGCTCCCATCGAGGGGTGCCCTTAGCACCAGTGTTTGGCTGTCGGCGCCAGCAGAACTGCTCACAGCATTGGTATCGCCTGCCATATCCGTAGTCACTGCATCACCAGCAGTACCGGTTACATCGGCAGCGGCGGTTATATCAGCCGTGCCGGTTACATCAGCAGTACCCTGTAAGTCTGCAGTGCCGATCGCACCAGCGGCACTAGAAATCGTAGCACGACCCAATATAGTGGCAGTGCCGCTTATGGTGGCAGTACCAGCCAACAATGCAATACCGCGTATAAAAACAGTGCCAGTTATCACAACCATGCCAGTCGAACCATCTTCGCCTGTTATCCTCGCAGCACCAGTCACAGTGGCCGTGCCGGAAACAGTAGGAATGTCAGGTTCGGCAGCAGGGTCGGCTGTAGCAGCAGAGTCGGATGTAGGAGCAGAGTTGGTTGTAGCAGCAGAGTCGGTTGCAGCAGCAGGGCTGGCTGTAGCAGCAGCGTTGGGAGTGATTTCAGGTGGCGGGCGGCCGAGGGAAGAGAGTCGGTACAGGGTCAAGTGGTGGAGGGATGTAAGGCGCGAGAGAAAGGACGGGAGGAGGGAGAGGCGGACGCATTGCGAGACGGTCAGGGAGCGAAGAGAGGGGAGAGGGGCGGGGGAGGCGGGAGGAGGCGGCGAGGGGGGAGGCGGCGAGGGGGGAGGCGGCGAGGGGGGAGGATTCACGTCAGCCTCCGATGCAGTGTGGTAAGGAGGCATCGTGCCGACATGAACAGTGTTATCCCCTTCAAAGAGTGCCTCCATACAAGCGTTATAGTCCATCTCCAGATGCTGCAGCGACGGCAGCCATTGCCAGGCATGGGGCAGGGCTGATAGGCGCTTACAGCGGCACACACGCAGGCTCGTGAGCGACTGAAGGAACACCGGGATGGGAGATTTGCCCCTGCTGCTGCTGCTGCTTCTGGTGCTGATGGCGGCGCTGGTGGCGAGGTGAGGAGCTGTTGCTTCCTGGGAAGAGCTGCGGTTGCCTGCAGTCGCTTCATTGAGTGGTGAAGGAAGAGGAGGAGAAGGGAGAGTGGTGAGAGAGGCGCAGCCAGAGAGGTGCAAGGAGGAAAGGGAGGAGAGAAGCGTGAGGGAGCAGGGAAGGGCTTGCAAGGAGTCGCACGAAATGATGCTTAGGTCACGGAGAGAGTGGGAGAGGAGGTGGAGGGAGGAGGGGAGTGAGGAGAGGTGTGGGAGGGCGGAGAGCGTGAGGGAGCGGAGGTTGAGCATGAGAGAGAGCTCGTCGGGGAGGGAGGAGAGAGTGGTGCAGTCCGCTAGAGTGAGGTGGATTAGGGACGGAGATAATGCGGCGAGGGTACTCCCTGAAATTTCGCTGATTTTTCCCCGACTGAATAACTCCAGGCATTCTAATCCCTTGCATAATCCCTCCGCATACTCCTTACAATCAGCCCCGCTATAAGCCTCCTCCGTGCCCCGTTCCAGAATTCCCCCTGGGTTTCCATCGGCTTCTGTTGCGGCTGCGGTCTCCCCCGACGGGGGAACAGTTGCGGCTTCTGCGGCGGGAGGGGGACCTGCGGCGAGGATCGCGGGCAGGGAAGCGCGCAGGCGGGGGAGATAGCCGAGAGTGAGCGCGCGGAGGCGGGGGAGGCGCGCGGGGAGGCGCAGCGGAATGGCGGAAAGATCAAAGCACTCGCGGAGCTCGAGAGACTCGAGAAGGGGGAGGGCGGCGGGGAGGGTTTCGGGGAGCGAACGGAGGTAATGGCGGGAAAGGGAGAGATGGCGGAGGGAGGAAAGAGTGGAGGGACGAGGCTGGGGAGTGAGGGGGTTGTGTGGGAGCGTGAGGGAGGTGACTGGAAGAATCGACGAAGCTTTGTTCTTCTGACCCGAGTCGCTGTGACTGAAGTCCTCATCTGACGACCATTCGTCGTCAGAATAGCTGGTATTGTCTGATTGGTTAGAACGGCCTACGTCAACGTCCGTGCCCGTTGAAAAGCAGGCTGGAAGTTTCGACAGGGATTCCGAGCGAATAGATAGACGGACGAGAGCGGAGAGATGACAGAATCCGTCAGGAAGGCGCCTCAGTCCATACCCAGTCATCACTAGTGCCGTCAAGTGATGTAACTCGCAGATTGACGGAGGAAGGCGGTGAAGATTAGGCGGGCAGTGCAGCTGCAGGGACTCGAGCCGCGGGCAGGAGGAAAAAAGAGCGGTCAGCCCGGCAGCAGTGATAGAATGCCGGAGATCGCATAGAGGCCCTTTTGTCGCGATGCCTCTGAGACTAGGAAGCAATCGCGGCTCGCCCATGTCTCCCAGATGGAAGTGAGTGAGGGATGGACACGTGGCAGCTAGCTGGGTCAAAAAATGATCGTTGGCCAATGAGAGGCTACCATTTGGCAGGGTGAGCGATTTCAGCGACGGGAACGAAGGGAGACCTTTCAAAAAACGTCCGGTGCACAGACGACGGTTCTGCGACAGTGCGACGTGCGATCGAGTCGCACATGCGAGGCGGTGCCAATGGCGACAGACGAGAATGAAGCTACCCGAATGATTGGATTTCGACCGCCAAAAGGGCTTCGAGTCTATGATCGGGGGACTGAAAAGCGGCCGATCACGGTCTGATTCGACGTAGCGAAAAACAAACCCTGAGTACTGACCGCGAGAGTGCTGCTGCGGCTGGGGAGCTGAGGAATCTACACGTGGCGTCGGTGCAACGTAGCTGAAGATTCGACCAAGCAGATCGTCCGACAACTGATGGATCGAAGTTGACTCCATAACGCTGGCTTCTACACCGGTACTGGCCATGGCCTCCATTCCTGGTGAGGCAGGCGTGTATTTTTCTGGCTCGATTCTGTAGTAGTCCCGCTCATTGCTACGGTTTAGGGTATCTGGCGGACGTGGTGGTCGCGTTGGGAGTGGAGTGGATCAGGAAGGCTGGTATCCAGCATCATCGCACTCAATCGCACCGTATCACAAATGAATGGTTTGTCCCGATACGCAGTGGTTTGGAAGGATAACACTTCCACCATACTCTGAGAATGTGTTGTCTGTATTGAGGTGCGAGCTCTTGCATATTTGACAAGGGGTCATGCTCTAAATGGTGCTTCAATTGCAGTAGTTGCTAGGTAATTGCTGTTCTTGCATGATAGCAGCCTGATATGTTTTTTGAAATCTCTCCACAAAAAAATCACCAGTACTGGTAGTTGAAAAGAAAGGAAATGTACTACTGTATGTACTACGGTATTTGCCTATGGTAGCAGCAGTGTCGGCAACATGGTGGCTTAGCTAGGCGGACTGTCTTGCTCGCTCGATCAATGGTCGAAGCTGCTTCTTCTCGGCGAGAATCTTGAGGAAGTTGAAGAGGAAGGGGATGTAGTTGTGCTTCCTGCGAATGTTCTCCGTCCGCCATCGCCGGTACTTCTCCTCCTCACCAGCTATTAAGTCTGCAAAACAGACCAACGGGGAGAAGGGTGCGGCAGTGTAGGAGGGGGGAGAGGGGGAGGTGGGGGGAAGTGGGGGCGAATATGAGAGAGATTGCTGTTTCGGGTCCACTAAAAAGTTGAAGAGGAAGGGAATGCAGTCGTGCTTCCTGCGAATGTTCTCCGTCCGCCACCGCCGGTACTTCTCCTCCTCACCTGCTATTAAGAACGCGTAACAATGGAGAGGGCAGTGTGGTAGGGGTCGCAGGAAAGGGGGGAAGGGGACAAGGGAGGGTGGAAGAGGGGTGGAGGGTACTTTTTCCTACTCCCCTGCTATTGCCACTTACCACTCAACGTCTTTCTCACTTGCACACCTGACAACGTCCTCACCCTTGCACACGCCTCCCCGCCTTTCACCTTGCACACGCCTCCCCGCCTTTCACCTTGCACACGCCTTATCATCACCCTTACTTCGCACAGCTCCCACCATCTCTCTCACCTTGCATGTGGCTCACTCGCTAAACCTCTCACCTTGCACGTGGCCCGCTCACTATACCTCTCACCTTGCACACCCCTCACCATCACTCACCTTGCACGTGTGCCATCTGCATTTCAATCTCCGCCACCTCCCCCTCCAGCGCCCCCGCATCCCCCCCTTCACCCCCATCCACCTCCATGCCCCCTCCCCCTCCACCGCGCCTCTCAATCTCCCCCACCAACCCCTCCTTCCTCGCCCTCAGCGCCCCCAGCCGCTCCTCCAGCGCCTCTTTGCGGTTGCGCACCACAGCCATGAGGTTGAATCGGATCTCGCTCTCCGCATACTTGTCAATGCGCTGCTGAATTACCGGCTGCACCATGCGTAACCATGCCATGTCTTCCTCCTCTTCCTCCCCCTCCCTCTCCCCATCCCCTCCTGTGCCAGACCCTGCTTTACCTCCTGCTCCCCCCCCTGCTGCTCCTCCTGCTCCTCCTTCCTCTGGCTTCACGTATGTTTTTTCCTCTTCCCCCGGACCACCACCCGAACCTTTTCCCGAGCCTGGAATCTCTCCGAGCCGGATAGGTCCGGGCTTGAGCCCGTCCAGTTCGTACAGCACCCCGTTAATCGGCACATAGCTGATAAAATGATACACATCGTCGTCCTTTTCTGCCGCCCGGGCCTCCTCGGCAGCTACTATGGCTTCCGGGCGGCTGAAGCTGTTGTGGGCCGCACGGATCGCCTCACTGTTGTTGATCGCCAGGCCCTTCAGCTCGGGGGGGAAGTCGCGGGTGAAATCACGGAGTGTGGAGAGTTCCGGGCCGATTTCAATGCGGTTGGATGCGTTTAGGAGGATTGATATGATCGCCTGGGTCGCACATGCGTTACTGATCACCTGAGTATGGGAGGATAAGGAAAAGGAGTGGGTGGGGTAGGATTCAAGAGCAGGTTCACGTGCAACTTTCAAGACAAGTGGAGATTCTAGGTGTGCCAGGTGGAAAATACAGGAGTGCCAGGTGGAGATTACATGACAAGTGGTAATGCTAGGTGTGCTAGGAGGAAAATACAGGAGTGTCAGGAGGAAATTACATGACAAGGGGAGATTACAGGTGTGCCAGGAGAGAATAATAAGTGTGTCAGCTAGAATTCATAATCAGAGCATGCTGTTTCGAATAACACTAATTCTTGTCTTCCTCACTTCTAGAGAATCTGACACTGGTTCTTGTCTCCGCTGGAAACAGGAGAGAAAAGTGGCTCAGCACCTAAGCGGGCTATAGGAAGGCGCATGGAAAGTCGCTTATGACAGCTGCAGAGCAGCTGCACGTCACCAATGTGCAGCCTCTACGCATCCACAGGCTGATAAGACATATGACTCTTACTAACGGCAGAATGTTGTACGAAAGTAGGAGTCAATCTCTCATCACCCTGTGGATGCGTAGGGGCTGCACATTGGTAATATGCAACTGTAACATGCTATGCAGCTGTCATAATCGACTTTTATGCGCCTTCCCACAGCCTGCTTGAGTGCAGTGCCACTCTTCTCTGTTGCTTTCAGTGGCGACAAAACATGGGTCCTTCAGGTGTGGGGTCACTAACTGTGAGATACTCAGAGATGCCGCTGCAAGAGACAACTGCAAGGTTACTTACTGGTGAGAAAGGTTATGACTGAATACAGTTCAGAAATGATGCTTCTCTGTTACCATTGGTCATGTAAACCCTTCCTAACTTAAAATTTCACTTCCCCATATTATTCTGCCAACCTTTGGCGAACGCATGATGAAACTTTCCATAATGATGCTCCACAGAGAGCTTGACGGATAACACAGGGTAGTGGATGAGCCGCACCTGGTTTGCAAAGAAGACGGCCAGAGCAGCAGTGTCAGGCACCATGGGGCGCATGTCCAGCCCGCCTGGACGCCAGCTAGAGACCTCAATACTCCCTATTTCATCCATCATAACACTCTAGCCCTGTCCCGCTCCTTCTCAACGACCCAACCCACCTGACTCGCAAAGAACGCGCCTGCGGCAGCAATGTCAGGCACGGTGGGGGGTGTGTCCATCTCACCTTGACCCAACTGCAGACCTCTTAAAGCACTCAAACCACTAGCCGTAAAATGGGATAATTGAGATAATGCAGTTGCCGGCTCGCTCTACCCTCCCAAAGAACCTCATCCTATCCCTAACCGTCTCCGCATCCTCCAACCCACCTGGCTGGCAAAGAACACGTACGGAGCAGCAAATTCGGGCACTGCGGGGCGCGTGTCCAGCTCGCCTGGACTCAAGTAGAGACCTCAAAGCACCTCGTTCTATCCCTCGAAACCCCATCTCATCCCTCTCCACACCCACTCAACTCAACCGCACCTAGCTGGCAAAGAACACGTCTGGAGCAGCCGAGTCTGCCACTGGGTGGCGTGTGTCCAGCTCGCCTGCGCGCCACTATAGACCTCCAAGCACCCTATCCTGTCCCCAAAACGCCTTATCACATCCCCCTCCCACTCACTCACCCACCCAACCCACCTGGCTGGCAAAGAACACGTCTGGGGCAGCAGAGTCTGGCACTGTGCGGCGTGTTTCCAGCTCACCTGGGCTCAAGTAGAGAGCTCAAAGCACCTTACCTTCTCCCTCAAAGGCCCTATGCCATATCTCTCTCTCTCCCCCCTCACCCTCTCAACCCACCTGACTGGCAAAGAACACGTCTGGTGCAGCAGAGTCCGGCACTGTGGGGCGCGTGTCCAGCTCGCCTGGGCGCCACTTGAAGAGGAATATGAGCCCGTACACAGGGCTGGTGTAGGGGGGCGAGGGGGAGGAGAAGAAGAGAAGGGGGGTGGGGAGGGTGGGAAAGACTTTAAATTGACTCACAGCTCGCCTGGGCGCCACTTGTAGAGGAATATGAGCCCGTACACAGGGCTGGGAGGGGAGAGCATAGGGAAGGGGAGGCAGGGCAGCGAAGGCAATGGGATCGAATTGATTTTTGAATCGAAGCACTGGGCGATGGGATGGGATAGGACAAAAATCTTTTAAACTCTTGAAGCCGTCTTGCCTTCAGTTGACAAGCAAGTTGTAAACGTGCAACGGGCAGCAGAGGAGGAGGTGAAAGGAGCAGAAGAGGGGGAGAAAGAGGGGGTGATTGCATTTATGGGTACAGGTGTGGAGTGAACAGTGTTTATCCAACAGGTGCAGCGACTGATAATTCACCTGATGGTTTAAAAAGGCACCTGGGTTTTCATCTGAAAGTACCTGAGCTGCTTGAGGGCATCTATATCCAGGCTGTAAAGCTCTTGTACCTGATGGTTCAAAAGGCACCTGGGATTTCACCTGAAAGTACCTGAGCTGCTTGATGGCGTCCAGATCCAGGCTGTAAAGCTCCTCCACCTGAGAGGGCGGGAGAGAGGGGATGAAGGAGGATGTGAATGAGTGAGAGGGAGAGAGGGAGAGAGGGAAAACGGAAAAGGGGTGAGCATGAAAAGTTACCTGCATTCCCCATAAATGCACGCCCATGCCTGCACGCCCATGCCTGCACGCCCATACCTGCACGCCCATACCTGCACGCCCATACCTGCACGCCCATACCTGCACGCCCATACCTGCACGCCCATACCTGCACGCCCATACCTGCACGCCCATACCTGCACGCCCATACCTGCACGCCCATACCTGCACGCCCATACCTGCACGTCCATACTTGCACGCCCATACCTGCACGCCCATACCTGCACGCCCATACCTGCACGCCCTTCACTTGCATCTGCTGCATCAGCTCCGTGAAAATCCCTGGCAGGAGAGAGAGGGAGCGCAGTGGGGAGAGTGGTAATCAGGGGCAGAGAGGAGGGTGACGGGGAGAGCAGAAATGCTGGTGACTCTTGCATTTGCTGCATCAGCTCCGAAAACACTCCTGCGGGAAGAGAGCGGGGGCGCGGGCAAAGGGGTCAGAGTTGAGAGTGCAAATCAGGATCAGAGGAAATTCAGTGAGGGCAGGCAAAGGAGTTAGACTAGCGAGGGAGCACGGGTCAGCGGAGGGGAAAGGGGGCGAGGACCACGCAGATTACCTTCCCGACCAAGCACCGAGCCAAGCACCGAGCCAAGCGCCGAGGGAAGCTACTAATCCACGCACGCACCTGGATCCGACTCGATTGTACACCACGACATGGCGGGAAACGCGCCGCGCCCACTAGCTCTCTCTAAAAAGCTGGAATCCTATCCCCGTCGATGATCGGGAAAACTGTTGGAGGCGCGAGCTAAGGCGCGGCGGCAGCAGATCGCGGAGAAACGCGACGACGCGGCGATCGAACGGATGCGCGGAGCGAAGGACGCAGGGGTGATGAATCTTGCTTCTGTTGGTGGAAACAACCGCTAATGAAAACGTCGATACAGCACTGAGTTCAACAACCGTACACCTGGGTACCAGAGATATCTTACATTACATTATGATGTTACTACAAACTAGTATTGCCTTGCTGACGTGAATCACGAACAGTATACCCACAATGAAATACGAAGCAGGCAAAGCGTACTACGATTTTAAAAATACATCGAATCAAAGAAAGTGCTCTTATAGATAAATGTACAAAACATTGGATAGAAATAGGTACAAGACAATCAACTGCTAATGAAAATTTTGTAGTGACCACAATACTGTAGCTAGCAGCATGCACGCCAGTTCCTCCCAGCAGCTTCCAGGAAGCGCTGCACGGCCAGAGCAGGCAGCTCACAGCCGCCCAGATCCACGCCACCCTTCTTGGCAAGCTTTGCCGCCCCGTGGAAGTCCGACCCTCCGATCTTGAGCAACCCATGAGCGTTTGCTAGGCGGCAATACTCTGATGGTCGGTGGGAGGGAGGGGTGAAACGGAGGTGGTGGATGGGGAGGGGAGGGAGAGGTAATCATCATCCCTGTGGAAGTCCGACCCGCTAACCTTCAAAAAGCCCATGCACGTTCACAAGGCTGCGGTCCGTGCTCTGATGGTGGTGGGAGGGGGAAATGGGAAGTGGCAGAAAGGAAGAGGGAGGTGAGGGGGTTTATTTCCCTTCTTGGCGAGCTTTGCCGCCCCATGGAAGCCCGACCCGCCGATCTTGAGCAGCCCGTGTGCGTCAGCCAGGTGGCGGTATTCTGATTGTGGTGGCAGGGTGGGATGGGGGAGGTGTTAGAGAGGAAGCGGGAGGTGAGAAGGTCCTTCATTCCCCTTCTTGGCGAGCTTTGCCGCCCCGCGGAAGTCTAAACCACCGATCTTGAGCAGCCTAGTTTTGAGTCCACTCAGAACTAAGTCTAAACCACCGATCTTGAGCAGCCCATGTGTGTTATCTAGACGGCACGGCAGTACCCTGATGGTGGATGATGGGTAATCGACAGAAAGAGAGGTGGAGAGAGGGGAGGTTGCGATTGAGAGGTCGTTGGCATTTCAGTGGCAAAATCACACCCACAAGGAAAATAGATTCACCTCCCCTCTCTCCACCTCTCCACCCACAACATCTCATACGACACTCAAAAGCACCCACCTTCTGCGTCGATTCAAAAATAGGATCAAGGAAAATACAGAAGCACAGAAGGTAACACACTCAGAAGCACAGAAGGTAACACAAGAAGCACAGAAGGTAACACACTCAGAAGCACAGAAGGTAACACACTCAGAAGCACAGAAGGTAACACACTCAGAAGCACAGAAGGTAACACACTCAGAAGCACAGAAGGTAACACACTCAGAAGCACAGAAGGTAACACACTCAGAAGCACAGAAGGTAACACACTCAGAAGCACAGAAGGTAACACACTCAGAAGCACAGAAGGTAACACACTCAGAAGCACAGAAGGTAACACACTCAGAAGCACAGAAGGTAACACACTCAGAAGCACAGAAGGTAACACACTCAGAAGCACAGAAGGTAACACACTCAGAAGCACAGAAGGTAACACACTCAGAAGCACAGAAGGTAACACACTCAGAAGCACAGAAGGTAACACACTCAGAAGCACAGAAGGTAACACACTCAGAAGCACAGAAGGTAACACACTCAGAAGCACAGAAGGTAACACACTCAGAAGCACAGAAGGTAACACACTCAGAAGCACAGAAGGTAACACACTCAGAAGCACAGAAGGTAACACACTCAGAAGCACAGAAGGTAACACACTCAGAAGCACAGAAGGTAACACACTCAGAAGCACAGAAGGTAACACACTCAGAAGCACAGAAGGTAACACACTCAGAAGCACAGAAGGTAACACACTCAGAAGCACAGAAGGTAACACACTCAGAAGCACAGAAGGTAACACACTCAGAAGCACAGAAGGTAACACACTCAGAAGCACAGAAGGTAACACACTCAGAAGCACAGAAGGTAACACACTCAGAAGCACAGAAGGTAACACACTCAGAAGCACAGAAGGTAACACACTCAGAAGCACAGAAGGTAACACACTCAGAAGCACAGAAGGTAACACACTCAGAAGCACAGAAGGTAACACACTCAGAAGCACAGAAGGTAACACACTCAGAAGCACAGAAGGTAACACACTCAGAAGCACAGAAGGTAACACACTCAGAAGCACAGAAGGTAACACACTCAGAAGCACAGAAGGTAACACACTCAGAAGCACAGAAGGTAACACACTCAGAAGCACAGAAGGTAACACACTCAGAAGCACAGAAGGTAACACACTCAGAAGCACAGAAGGTAACACACTCAGAAGCACAGAAGGTAACACACTCAGAAGCACAGAAGGTAACACACTCAGAAGCACAGAAGGTAACACACTCAGAAGCACAGAAGGTAACACACTCAGAAGCACAGAAGGTAACACACTCAGAAGCACAGAAGGTAACACACTCAGAAGCACAGAAGGTAACACACTCAGAAGCACAGAAGGTAACACACTCAGAAGCACAGAAGGTAACACACTCAGAAGCACAGAAGGTAACACACTCAGAAGCACAGAAGGTAACACACTCAGAAGCACAGAAGGTAACACACTCAGAAGCACAGAAGGTAACACACTCAGAAGCACAGAAGGTAACACACTCAGAAGCACAGAAGGTAACACACTCAGAAGCACAGAAGGTAACACACTCAGAAGCACAGAAGGTAACACACTCAGAAGCACAGAAGGTAACACACTCAGAAGCACAGAAGGTAACACACTCAGAAGCACAGAAGGTAACACACTCAGAAGCACAGAAGGTAACACACTCAGAAGCACAGAAGGTAACACACTCAGAAGCACAGAAGGTAACACACTCAGAAGCACAGAAGGTAACACACTCAGAAGCACAGAAGGTAACACACTCAGAAGCACAGAAGGTAACACACTCAGAAGCACAGAAGGTAACACACTCAGAAGCACAGAAGGTAACACACTCAGAAGCACAGAAGGTAACACACTCAGAAGCACAGAAGGTAACACACTCAGAAGCACAGAAGGTAACACACTCAGAAGCACAGAAGGTAACACACTCAGAAGCACAGAAGGTAACACACTCAGAAGCACAGAAGGTAACACACTCAGAAGCACAGAAGGTAACACACTCAGAAGCACAGAAGGTAACACACTCAGAAGCACAGAAGGTAACACACTCAGAAGCACAGAAGGTAACACACTCAGAAGCACAGAAGGTAACACACTCAGAAGCACAGAAGGTAACACACTCAGAAGCACAGAAGGTAACACACTCAGAAGCACAGAAGGTAACACACTCAGAAGCACAGAAGGTAACACACTCAGAAGCACAGAAGGTAACACACTCAGAAGCACAGAAGGTAACACACTCAGAAGCACAGAAGGTAACACACTCAGAAGCACAGAAGGTAACACACTCAGAAGCACAGAAGGTAACACACTCAGAAGCACAGAAGGTAACACACTCAGAAGCACAGAAGGTAACACACTCAGAAGCACAGAAGGTAACACACTCAGAAGCACAGAAGGTAACACACTCAGAAGCACAGAAGGTAACACACTCAGAAGCACAGAAGGTAACACACTCAGAAGCACAGAAGGTAACACACTCAGAAGCACAGAAGGTAACACACTCAGAAGCACAGAAGGTAACACACTCAGAAGCACAGAAGGTAACACACTCAGAAGCACAGAAGGTAACACACTCAGAAGCACAGAAGGTAACACACTCAGAAGCACAGAAGGTAACACACTCAGAAGCACAGAAGGTAACACACTCAGAAGCACAGAAGGTAACACACTCAGAAGCACAGAAGGTAACACACTCAGAAGCACAGAAGGTAACACACTCAGAAGCACAGAAGGTAACACACTCAGAAGCACAGAAGGTAACACACTCAGAAGCACAGAAGGTAACACACTCAGAAGCACAGAAGGTAACACACTCAGAAGCACAGAAGGTAACACACTCAGAAGCACAGAAGGTAACACACTCAGAAGCACAGAAGGTAACACACTCAGAAGCACAGAAGGTAACACACTCAGAAGCACAGAAGGTAACACACTCAGAAGCACAGAAGGTAACACACTCAGAAGCACAGAAGGTAACACACTCAGAAGCACAGAAGGTAACACACTCAGAAGCACAGAAGGTAACACACTCAGAAGCACAGAAGGTAACACACTCAGAAGCACAGAAGGTAACACACTCAGAAGCACAGAAGGTAACACACTCAGAAGCACAGAAGGTAACACACTCAGAAGCACAGAAGGTAACACACTCAGAAGCACAGAAGGTAACACACTCAGAAGCACAGAAGGTAACACACTCAGAAGCACAGAAGGTAACACACTCAGAAGCACAGAAGGTAACACACTCAGAAGCACAGAAGGTAACACACTCAGAAGCACAGAAGGTAACACACTCAGAAGCACAGAAGGTAACACACTCAGAAGCACAGAAGGTAACACACTCAGAAGCACAGAAGGTAACACACTCAGAAGCACAGAAGGTAACACACTCAGAAGCACAGAAGGTAACACACTCAGAAGCACAGAAGGTAACACACTCAGAAGCACAGAAGGTAACACACTCAGAAGCACAGAAGGTAACACACTCAGAAGCACAGAAGGTAACACACTCAGAAGCACAGAAGGTAACACACTCAGAAGCACAGAAGGTAACACACTCAGAAGCACAGAAGGTAACACACTCAGAAGCACAGAAGGTAACACACTCAGAAGCACAGAAGGTAACACA